AAGTTATAAATAAAATAATTTGACATTGACAAATTATGTGAACAATAAAAAACGTATAATTTTACCTGTATCATTAATATACTTATAACATTAATGATTAACTTGAACAAAAGTATCCGTGTTTCCAGAATTCAAAAATATATCGAGCTCTAAATGTGGGTGGGCTAATATCCATGTACACGGGCATATCTTTGATCGCGGTTTACGGCTATTTTATTACATCCTTGCTTATTATTAAGAAAAATTATAAACTTATATTTAATTAACGACATATTAAAAGTCACTAGTAACTACTACTACCGGTATAATTAATCATGCACACATTATTGAATTAATCAAGAGTCTAGACCATTGGGTTCCACGTATTACAAATTATTACAAATAGCAATACCTATAGCATTACTAAATGTTAATGCTAACTAGTTTTGAAATTCAATGTTCTAGACTAAACATATTTATTTTACATAAACAATATAATATATCAAACATATATTTTAGTTAATTGTGTTAAGGACATTTAAACGTGTAATTATTTATTAAATTAAATGACATTTATTTCCGGATCTGCAATGAATTACATTGAATACAACCTAACTTATTATTGTGTTATATTATAATTAATTTATAAATTATCATATGTTTGAACATTTCAATTATAAAGTGTTGAATTTATTATCCAATTTAATACTGTATTAAATATGTTCATGAAGTTCGTATGCCACAAAATGAACTTGACATAAGTTATATCAAACTTATTTTCAATGGCAAATTTTCTTTTTTAAAATCTTCATTTATTTTAGCTTTCACATTTATTTATTATGTATGATTTTAGCTTTCACATTTATTTATTATGTATGATTTTAGCTTTCACATGTACACTTGTAACTTAATAATTAATTAAAATAAAGGAATCCTTATTTAATGAATAAAAAAATTCCGCTTAAATATAACTATAAAAGGAACGGTAGTTTTGTGATTTAAATTCATTGTTCACTGACATAGAGTGTATACATTAAAACAATGTATAAGAACAAACTTATTGTATTAGTAGCAACCCTAGTACTATGCCAAGGGGCAGTAGTACAGCGCCGTTGCATTGGTTTAGGTTTATTAGCCGGTGGCCTAGTAGGTGGTGCCGCAGCAAACGGTATGTATACACTATTTATCATTCAACGTAGCTATCAAAAGTATCACGATCAAAAAATAATTATTCATATTTATTTAAATTATAGGCGCTATACATGCCGGTGCCGCGGCAGTACATGAACTTAGCGCTAATGGTAGCGCTCACAGTGATACCAGTGCTACTGGTGTTGCTGGTATCGGTAGTGCCATCGGTAGTGGTATCAGCAGTGGTATCGGTG